GATCACCCACCCAGGGCCCAGCACAGAGGCAGCCAACTGAAAAGTGCCCACACTTTCTGTGAAAGAGACTTGTGTGAATATCTTAAGGTGTCAGCCTGAGGGGCAGGCATCTAACTGAACACACCTCTAAAGGCCTCCTGAAATATTCTCCAAAGATAGAGGCCAGCGGGCACTGTATCTCACTCTCCCTGTGCCTCGCTCCAGGCCACTGGTATCTCCAGAAAAGAGCTTACACACTCATCTGGTGCTCCAGGTGTTGCGGCTGCTGCCCAGATGTGTCCAAATCTAAATCACCTGCTCTGGCGGCCAGCGCAGCTCACATGCACAGGTCCTGTGGAACTGTAACAAATGGTGAAAGAGCTCCTAACTGGCTACCCCCAGCACACAGCAGGGATGCAAAAGACTGAGGCACCCAGTCTCTCTGTGAAAGAGGCCTATTATATCTTCCTGGCTGCATCCTGAGGGGCAGGTTTCTAACTGAACACAACAGCTTAGGGCTAACTGTAATTCTCTCCAGAGACTCTGGAGGGCAGGCACTATCTTCGTGCTCTCCCTCTGCAACGGTCCAGGTTACCGGTATCTCCCATAGGGGAGCTTGGGCACATATCTGGTGCCCCAGTTTTTAGTCTGGTGCCCTGGTTTTTGTGGATGCTGCCCAGGGGACACCCCTTGATCCCTTGGCTCTGGTGGTCAGCGCTGCTTGCCTTCCTGAGGCTGTAACAAATGTGGGGATAGTTCTTGGCAGACTGCCACTCTCAGGGCACTTCACAGCAGACAAAAACACCCCCCCAAGTCTTTCTGTGTAAGAGGCCTATTTGCTTATCTTGGAGCTTTGATAAGAGGGCAGGCTTCTGGTTTGGCACAATTATAGAGACCTGTAGAGGTGCTCTCTGGGGAAGGATGCCCGTGGGTGACATCTTTGCACACTCACTCTGCCTCGCTCCAGACTGCCAGTCTCTCCCAGGAAGGAGTTTGCGCACTTGTATGATGCAACGATTTTTGCAGCTACTGATCAGGAGACATCTCGTGGTTACCTGGCTCTGGTGGCCAGCGGGGCTTGTACTCATATGTCCCACAGGACTCTTACAAACAAATAATCCTTGACTGGTTACCCCTACTCAGGGCATAGCACAGAGACAGCAGACTGAAAGGAAGAAGTAAAACTGTCATTTTTTATGGGCAGAAGACCTAAATAGACATTTCTCCAAAGAAGATATACAGACTGCCAACAAACACATGAAAGAATGCTCAACATCATTAATCATTAGAGAAATGCAAATCAAAACTACAATGAGATATCATCTCACACCAGTCAGAATGGCCATCATCAAAAAATCTAGAAACAATAAATGCTGGAGAGGGTGTGGAGAAAAGGGAACACTCTTGCACTGCTGGTGGGAATGTGAATTGGTTCAGCCACTATGGAGAACAGTATGGAGGTTCCTTAAAAAACTACAAATAGAACTACCATATGACCCAGCAATCCCACTACTAGGTATATACCCTGAGGAAACCAGAATTCAGAAAGAGTCATGTACCAAAATGTTCATTGCAGCTCTATTTACAATAGCCCGGAGATGGAAACAACCTAAGTGCCCATCGTCGGATGAATGGATAAAGAAGATGTGGCACATATATACAATGGAATATTACTCAGCCATAAAAAGAAACGAAATTGAGCTATTTGTAATGAGGTGGATAGATCTAGAGTCTGTCATACAGAGTGAAGTAAGTCAGAAAGAGAAGGACAAATACCGTATGCTAACACATATATATGGAATTTAAGAAAAAAAAATGTTATGAAGAACCTAGGGGTAAAACAGGAATAAAGACACAGACCTACTGGAGAACGGACTTGAGGATATGGGGAGGGGGAAGGGTGAGGTGTGATAGGGCGAGAGAGAGACATGGACATATATATACTAACAAATGTAAGGTAGATAGCCAGTGGGAAGCAGCCGCATGGCACAGGGAAACCGGCTCGGTTCTTTGTGGCTGCCTGGAGGGGTGGGATAGGGAGGGTGGGAGGGAGGGAGACAAAGAGGGAAGAGATATGGGAACATATGTATATGTATAACTGATTCACTCTGTTATAAAGCAGAAACTAACACACCATTGTAAAGCAATTATACCCCAATAAAGATGTTAAAAAAAAAAAAACTGTCATTTTTTGCAGATGACATGATACTAAAGAGAAAACCCTAAAGACTCCACTAAAAAACTGCTAGAATAAATAAATTCAGTAAAGTTACAGGATAAAAAAAATATATACATAAACCTGTTACATTTCTATACACCTATAACAAACTATCAGGAACAGAAATTATGAAAACAATTTCATTTACTATTGCATCAAGAAGAATAAAATACTTAGGAATAAATTTAACCAAGGAGGTGAAAAACCTCTACACTGAAAACTTTACAAGACATTGAAGAAAGAAATTCAGGACACAATAAATGGAAAGATATTCCATGTTCATAGATTAGAATAATTAATATTGTTAAAATGTCCATATTACCCAAAGCAATCCTCAGATTCAATGCAATCCCTATCAAAATTTCAATGGTATTTTTCACAGAAATTGTTAACAATCCTAAAATTTGTATGTAACCACAAAAGATGCCGAATGGCCAAAGCAATCTGGAGAAAGAAAAACAAAGTTGGAGGCAACATGCTTTCTGATTTCAAACTATATTACACAGTTACAGGAACCAAAACAGTCTGGTATCGGCATAAAAACAGACACACAGATCAACACAACAGAATCGAGACCAGAAATAAACCTAGGGATATATGGTCAATTAATATTTGACAAAGGAGCCAAGAATATACAATGGGAAAAGAACAGTCTCTCCAATAAATAGTGCTGGGAAATTTACAGCCACATGTAAAAAAATGAAACTGGACCACTAAACTACACCATACCCAAAAATTAACTCAGAACGGATTAAAGATTTGAATATAAGACCTGAAACCACAAAAACTCCTAGAAGAAAACAGGTGGTCAGCTCCTTGACATCAGTCTTGGTCATGATTTTTTGGACACCAAAAGCAAAAGCAACAATAGCAAATATAAACATGTGGGATTACATCAGTCTAAAAGCTTCTGCACAGCAAAGGAAACCATCAACAAAATTAAAAGGCAATTTACACAATGGGAGAAAATATTTGCAAATCATATGTCTGATAAGGGGTTAATATCCGAAATATATAAAGAATTCAAATAATAATAACAAAAAATAATCCAATGAAAAAATGGGCAGAGGATCTGAATAGACATTTTTCTATAAAAGACATATGGATGGCCAAAACAGGTACATGATAAGGTGCTCAACATCACTAATCAGGAAAATGTAACTCAAAACCACAATGAGATATCATCTTGCCCGTTAGAATGGCTATTATGAAAAAGACAAGAAATAACAAACGTTGATGAGAATGTGGAGAAAAGGGAACCCTTGTGTGCTGTTGGTGGGAATGTAAATTTGTACAGCCCCCATGGAAAATAGCATGGAGGGTCCTCAAAAAACTAAACTACCATATGATCCAGCAGTTCCACTTCTAGGTACTTATCCAAAGAAAATGAGAACACTAACTCAGAAAGATATATGCACCCCCATGTTCATTATTTACAGTAGTCAAGACATAGAGGCAACCTAAGTATCCAGACAAAGAAAAAGTGATAGCTACACACACACACACACACACACACACACACACGCACACGCACACAGAGCAGAATATTATTCATCTGTAAAAATGAACCTCTTGCCATTTGGGACAACGTGGATGGATACTGAGGGAATTATGCTCAGTGAAATAAGTCAGAGAGAGACAAATACTGCACGATCTCATTTATATGTACAATCTAAAAAGCAAACAAACGAACACTAATAGAAAAAGAGGTCAGATTTGTGGCTCTCAGAAGCAGGGGTGGGGAGTGGCGAATTGGAAGAAAGTGGACAAAAGGTACAAACTTCCAGTTATGAGATAAGTAAGTCCTGGGGATGTAACGTTCAACGTAACTATACTTAACACTGCTGTCTGGCCTTTTGGAACTTGTTAGGAGAGAACCCTAAGAGCTCTCATCACCAGGAGAAACATTTTCTTCTTTCTTTTTTTTAATCTACATGAGATGATAGATATTAGCTAAACTTACTGTGATAATCATTTTTCAGCATACATAAGTCACGCCGTTATGCTGTACGCCTTAAACCTATCAATGTTGTATGTCAATTATATCTCAGTATGCGGGGTTGGGGGCAGTAGAGGCAGTTGATTCTCAACTTGGCTCTGCATTAGAATTGCCTATGGAGCTTTTGCAAAAAAAAAAAATAGCATGTCATATATACACACACATAATTTTCAAAGCTCTCACGGTTATTCTGATGACCAGCCAAGCTTGTGAAAAGAACAATATCACTAATTAAGAGTTTTCAGTAGGAGAGTAGTCCATTTATTAAAATGTCTTATTAATAGCAATCACTTGCTTTTAAAAACACACATTTATAAGGGAGTAAGTGAAAAAAGGAAATTGACACCAATTCGAGAAGCAGTTTGAAAGCAGAAAACTGAAAGGTAAATATTAGAAGAAAGAAGCCGCTTCTCTCTTTTTGCCTCTATATTGCCTGCTTTTTTATCTCAAAGAAGGTAGTAGATAAAAACAGGAAAAACAAGTTGATAACAGGAAAGTGAAAAGTAACACTCTGAAATTTTAGGTTAAGTTTTAAAATCAGCTTTTCTACTAAGCAACTAACGTAAGCATTGCTTTAATTGATGCCCACATAAACACACCACCAATAAATCAGAGACCCCCTTCAACTCTTCCCTCATTCCACACTGCACAGACAATTCATTTTGCATGTTGTATTTCAAGCTTTTCACCCAAAAGCCAACTATAAATTCAGTTGTCAACTGACAACCCACTAGCTTGAAAAAACATATCATTGTTAAGTAGGTAAATTAAATAAGTTTTCTTTAAACATACACCCACACGTAATTCAGGAGGAAGGAAACGTTTATTATTCATTAACCCTTTGAATGCAACCTCCATAATGTTTCAGGTTTAATTTAGTAGCAAACTTGATTAATACCATTTCCAGGAGTTCACAATTTCAAGGCTAAGGTTCCGGTTAAGGTAATGCGGTTATCAATTTAATATAAATGAAGTTTTTAAAAAAGGCTGAAAGCAGTCTGACCTCTTAAAGGAAAATATAAATGATGCAGACTTTAGTCTTAGTAACATAAGTACACTTCAGGACTACGACAGTCAAAGAGAAGGATTTTAAGTGAAGATCAGAAAGGACCACTACTATTTTCCTCTACAACGTATATGTTTTGGTCATAGCATGCTGGCATGAGGAAGGCAACGTGCTACGCTCTGGCGTGCAGGAAGTGCAGTGAGATGCACTGCAGGAAGGCAGTGGTGACGGTGGCAGGCACGGTGCAGGGTCTCTCCCCAGGTGCACATCAGTCATCTTCTCCACAGAGCAGCAGGAGGGCTTTCTTATAGTCCCCAGATGTGTCCCCCTGAAACCCAAATGTACTCCGTTAACCCCCATGACTCACAGAAGCCACAGAAAATAAAAAACTAAGACATATCTGGCAACAGGTTTTATTCACATGACATTTCTCCCGTGTGGGTAATCTCTCTGTGAGTGCCTTTCACAACAGGAATGCTTTACAGAGAATTTCCTACTGATGCAACTGATGTTTAACTTTCTAATTTTACCCCTTAAAAGCACAGTTCTACCTAAGACAGTGAAGTATGTTCTTCCCTCTAGTAACACAGAGAACAGGGAAGCTTTTACAACCATGTTCAAGTCAAGGTTTCTAAACAAAGTCTAATTCTCTCATCACAGCAGTCCCTAACCTTTTTGGCACCAGGGACTGTTTTCATGGAAGACAATTTTTCCAAGGACTGGGGGGGCAGGGGATGGTTTCGGGATGATTCGAGGGCATTACATTTACTGTGCACTTTATTTCTATTATTATAGCAGCTCCAACTCAGATCATCAGGCATTACATCCCAGGAGTTGGGGACCCCTGTCTTATCACACAGCATATGGCTGGCTATGGGGGGGCAACGCTGGGACTGCCTGGCTGTTATGGCTTTGCCTCAAAGACAGAAGGGTAAGGTACATTTTGCCTCTGCTTGTGTCATGCACAGATGTGTGGGATAAGTTAATGTTTCAAGCTATGAGTCACTGGGAGAACTCTCTAGTACCCTTCAGCCACGCACACACAAAGTTCAACGCTTTCTCAACTGAGATGCTGCTTTGCACAGAGCCCACATTCCCCTTTATCAAAGAGAAAGACCAAGACAGAGAGACAAAAAAAGACAGAAAGACAGACAGAGACAGGAAGGAAGGAGGGAAGGATGGAAAGGAGGGAGGGAGGGAGGGAGGGAGGAAAAGAAAGAATGAGGAAGTCAAAAGGCCTTAAGCCAAATTTAATTATAGGCCACAGTGTCCCTTGCTTTTAAAAGGATGAAAATGACAGTAATACTTAAGCTCTTTACTTACTCCTGACATGACCTGGTTGGTTCTTTCCTGAACTATGAACTAATACCAGAGATAAGGTGATAACAGACAATAAAGAAAGAAAACACTGATATGAAAGAAAGGAGAAACTAATAAAGACAGCTGGAACTGATAAAAGGCAGAAAGAACCAACATATTATTACCGTGGACAAGACTGGGCTTAGTGAGTCATCTGTCACCACCACTAAATAATGCTTCTAAGCTCACCAGGAGCCTCGGCCTTCACCGAGAGCCAGTCTTTCACTCAGGAGCTATCACCCGTACCTCAGGGGACATTACACCAAACTTTGTAGCTCACAGCTCTAATCACATCTCTAAAACTCTAAACTTAACACAGGAATTAGGTTCTCCCACCCACGTCTTGCAAGCTATGCACTGGTCTGCTGTGGATTTCTAAACATTTAAAGAAAGGTTCTACTACCTTAATCATGGAATAAAGAGAGGTGGCAAAATTCTTCCTAAACTCCTTCCTAATGTTAAACAGATCGATCTCACTTCTGGAAACCATAACTCTGATGAGGGTATGATCATCTGTCCCAGCTCCCTTTAAAAAAGAACAAAAGACAGGCACAGTGTTTAAAAATGTCAATTATAGCATGAAACTCCCCTGAGTTGGGGTGAGTCAATAAAGTAAAACAATTTAGTAGAATTGAACTACCTGTTTTAAGGAGGAAAGAAACCTCAAGCCTATCATCTAAAACATACTAGAGAGATAAATTAATTAGATAGAAGATTCAAGGCATGCACTTACCTTCATAGCATAGTAGAGGGTTTCTGCAAGGTAGGCAGGTATACTGCGAATGGATTTCACTGCGAAAATAAGTAATATAATGGTCACATGCTATCCTGATGTGAAAAGGATAAAGTAATTAAAATCAAAGCTGCCTGACGCTTATAGCTCTACTTCAATACAGTATGAAAGTAACACAGGCTCAAGAGCTGCTCATTTGCAAGCTGCTCTGATCTCCTGACTACAGAGAATCTCCATAGATACTGGCTTGAGTTTTCCTTAGAGTTCTGAGCTCTACACAGAGAGGCACATAGGACAGGGGCTGCAAGTTTTTCAGTGCCCCTTTCTTCTATGAACACCTTTTTGCCGTGACAGTTACGGCAGCCTCTGGGCTACTAAGCCACAACCTTCTTCATCCCCAGCAAATTACACAAACCTCCTGGGGGTTTTCATCCCAATATATTCAAGCAAATAATGTAAGATTACTACCCCATCTAATCTGACAAACCTTAGACTATCTGCCTGTCATCTTAATATAGGTATTCCCTCCGTATTCTATTGATATAACATCCATGATTCACACAGAGCAGCATATGAGACTCACCTGTTTTGGTAGAAACATCCAGATAAACCGGTAACAGAAAAGAGTTATCTTCCCTGAACACGTACATATCTATTGTATGTTAGGGCTCCTCAGAACTCAGTCTGCTTAGCTTCAGAAACTATCATAAAAATTCCTTAATATACAAAACTAACAAATCCTTGATTGGGGGCGGTGTGTTCTCCAATGCTTAAGAAAACAGCCACCAGTAACTAAATCTGTCACAACGTTTATGTGTATTATATTATGAAGGGGTCATCTAAAAGATTTCTATTAAAATTCATTAACTGTGCACTCAAATGAAAGGTTACTGTTAGTGCTGGTACATGCACACATTTAGCTTATTCTCTAGAAGACAGAGAGCACAGAAGCTTCAGCTCAACACCACATACTCAGAACAAACAGCAGACAGAGGTTCACTCCAAACCCATATGAAAACTGGGACCACAGGGAACTCACAAACTAGATTCTCCCTGGAATTTGGTGAGTACGTAATACGACAATAAACTGCACAAACTCGTTTCTCCAAATTTTCCAGGTTATTCTGAATATTTAGCTAAAATAAAATTCTAAACTATTTACTCAGAAAAATAACCACTATCACACATCTTCCATCATATCAAAGATACTTATTCTAAATCAGATTCCAATTTCTCAGTCTGCTTCAAAACTGTGAGGATGGTATTCTAAAGAAAAATAAAATTCCACAGATATCAGAAGTAACATTTACAAGCCTCTGAGATTACAATGCCCACATTTCAGGTTCACAATGAAACAGTAATACTTTTAATGAAGCTTCAAAATGATTTTTAAACAATTCTCTTAATGTTTCCATAAGATTAAATGAAATAACCAGATATTTCACGTATTTCCAACATTGAGACAGATTTTGAATTGGAAATTTAGGAGTTTGCTTCACCCAGATATCATGATAAGCTCTTTTTTAATAAAGAAATGGATGGTTATTTTCAGATACAGCTTCAACTGAATAAAATACTTTAGCTCTTAACACCATGAATATTATATACGTTATAAAATTACCTACCGACAGCAAGGAGCAGTTGTTCCAAATTACCAGAAGTCTCTCGGTCAATGGTTTCTTCAATTTGAAATCCTGATATAGTCATGTATTTGTCAAACACTAGAAAACAGGAAAACAATTTATGAATCAC